CAGACGTGTGCTCTTCCGATCTCCCCAAAACCCCAAAACCCCAAAATGATGCATTTACTATTCTACATTAGTAATTATATATTAAAAATATCTAATTAATCTAAGCCTATGCTCTAATAATTTGATCTGATTGATCTGTACTATTTTATTTAGTGGATATATTATACTTATATTCTCCTACATTATCAAGATGATGAAAGGTCTTTGACTACAATATCTTGATTGCGATCAATTTAATTCTAGATTTTAATTTCTTCGATATATTCATCCTCTTCTTCTTCTTTTACTTTTTCTTAGATCCCACGAAACTATTTTTATAAGTGTTTCGGACTTTCATTAGATTGCATATCAGTGTTTTCCATTAGGCGGAAACTTGGACGCTTCGAAGTTGTACTAGGACTTATCTCAAACATTAATTATGTATTAAAACCAGTTAATCCTGTGAGACCAGAGCCAACCATCATACTTTATCTTCTAGGAGGTATCAAAGAACTTAAATTTGTATCAGGAATAACTGTTATTCTAATGCTTGGACGCTTTTAATTTTTAGGTTAGTAAAGAATAGCCTAACTGTTATCATGAATCCTAAAACTAGGCCTTTTATTAGTATTCTTAACTGTGGTCTCTCTAGTTTTTACCTATGAAGTCATAGGAGTAGGAATTCCAATTTAGATATTAATTGCCAAATCTTTTATAGTTCTGTTTCCATCTGATTAATCAGATGAATCGTAGGCTACTTACCTTGAAAGCCAATCCTTATCCTTATCAAATTCTTGAATTGAGGATATTGTTACAATTGTGTCATTCGCCATATCATAAAGACTGTGCTTATACTCATTCATATCTTGCTGGAATTTTAATTCTTCTTAAACAGGGTTTTAAAATGAGATGTTTCCTGATTACTCCGACGAACTATTACCATGATCACTCATTAAGCCTCTCATTGATACACCAAAAAACGCCTATTTTCACCCTTTAATTGCTTAGAAATCCTTAGAAATGTTCTAAATACCTGTTGTCTTATTAAGACCCACAGTTTGAAATGAATGTTATTGGGATAAAAAGTCATTTAGCATGTTTAGTGATGGATTTTAATCATTTTCATTTTGGTTATCTTCATTTTCAGAACTTGAGCTACTAGAAGATGAACTTGATGATGGTGCTGAATTTTATTCTAAGACAGGAGAATTTTCATGATTATCCTCAATAAATTATTTAAAGTTTATCCCACTAAAAGAAGAAATGACTTAATTACTCGTTCTGGTTCCAGCAATCAAAGATGGATCTTCTTTTGAAGCATCCCTTTGGAGCACAAATGAACCCAGAAGTTTGCTATTATCACTTCTAATCATCATATTCATTTCACTCCCAAATTTTCTTCTCAAGACTTGTCCCTTTTTCTTTATTAAGGGTGTTTAAGATTAAAGCATTGTTAGACGAATTTTGCTTTTTATATCATAGATTATATCACGATCACAGAATTGTGTAAAAGGGTTTGACCTTTTAAAATCGAATAGGAATCTGAAAAATTCTATTGACTAAAAATACTTGTCATATCTGCCCTTTTATTCCTCATATTTTCTGTTTAATTTTCTTGAAAATTTTAAAAATGTCTTTTTGTCTAGTTTTTATTTTCTCTTGAGATTTTTTTCGAAGATCATACTTATTTTATATTCAGTATCTAAGGGAGTTTTAATGGTTGAAGTTTTTAGAATAAATGCCCCGAAACTTAACTCTTAAATTGTGTCTTTGTTGTAAGTTCTGTTATTATAGTTACTCATTACACTTCTTCTACGCTAATTTGAAAGAATGGTTTTTTGGCTTTGTCTTTTCCGTAGGCTATCGAATTATTCGAAAAATTCAACAAAGTTCTTCGAGGAATAGAAATTGACATTCCTTCCACTATCTTTT